GCGGAAATGTTGTAGGCCCGTGTGCTCAGATGGGGGCGCACGTTAAAGAACCCCAGGTGGTCTAAATTTCCGGAGCCTTCCACTACGGCCTCTCTCATAATCATATGGTGGTTTGGGGACGTCAAACCCCACATATCTATCCATCTAGAGATCGTATTATATGATATGCATCCAGGCACTCTCTATAGGGCGTGCAAAAAGAACCCTCTCTTGTACTTGTGACGCGTTTAGTGGCAGACAGGCATTGTGGGACAAGGGCGGCTTCTCCGCGGTGCCGCATTTCCTACCTACCTGTTGCTTAGCTCAATTGTCCTCTCCACGTCTTCTCCGAAATACGCGATCAACACCAACGTGTTTTCTGTGAATAACTCGATCGCCACTCTGTCAACATCACACCGGCCCCAAAGCAGGGGTTGACGCTGGTTGTCAACCCATCGGAACGTGTTTTAAAGATGTCGATTTCGTTGAGCATTTAAAATCCTTCATTCATGACGCAGTACGTAGATGCACAATCCTGGCACTTTTTTTTGTTTATACTCTGCTACTGCAACAGCCGGAGAAAGACTGCGCATCTGTGCAGCTCAAAGAAAGGAGGCTGTCGCTTCTCCACTCTGCTTCGGTTCGACTCGAACCAACGGAAACGCATATACCACCACTCCACAACACACCACGATCCGTTACCATTATAGTTATGACATTGTGGCCAGTGATTACGGCCCATAGGTTGTCATACCCTCCATACTTTTTTGATGGAGAGCATTCGTTGTCAGTTCTATGGAAACCTTGGAGCTGACAATGTCGAAATAGATAGCTCAATCGGGCATTCCAACCATCGCCTTCTCAAATGCTACCCTGAAGCGAGTCGTAAGAAAAGGATTGTCTGCGTGCATAACACCCTCAATTTTGAACTATCCTAAAATGCCTAGTGCAAGGGCTGCTTTGAAGTGCCTACTATGCCATAATTATTCCTTTTACGAATCAACAAACAACCTATTACATTTCCGTTAAGCAGCAGGTGACGCTACATATTTCACTGTTGTTCTTTTACTTAGGGCGATTAATATACATACAAGCGCTTTGTACAGGGTCGCCTTCTGGAACACCTGCTCGTTGCGAAATTCACATGTTTTGATGGTATATGCGCGATTTAATAGTTCTATAAAGCAATATCACTTGCGTTAGCGAAACTCCTTCTCCTACTTGACATTCATTCGGAGTTTTTAGAGCGCTGCTTTTGAGCTCTTGCTCCTGTTTTGAGCAGTGTTGCCGTTGGCGGTGTAACCGGTATGAGGAAGCAGAGATTGCTGAAGGAGCTTTCGTCCACGTGAGCCAGCAAGCCGCTCAGTTTGCTAGCATGTGCAATGCTCGTGTCTGCTCGTGCTTTTATTGCGATAGCAATCATATGGACTCTGTCGGCTGGATTTTGCCGCTGGCGTCAGCGTCGTCGTCGCTGTCACTCAGCAAATATATATATATATATATATATATATATATATATATATATATATATATATATATATATATATATAAATATTTATATATATATATTTATATATATATATATATATATATATTCTTCGTTCGTGAGCCACTGCCTCGAGCACCCTCGTTCTCATCTTCACGCGCGTTGGCTGTTCGGCGGAGTACCGGGCGCATGCAGGGCCAGCTCGTGCATTGCGGCTGACTTCGTCGCTCGTAGTCGTGCCGTTAGCGTTTCTCTGGTTCCCAACGCCCGCGTTGCGCGGAGCAATGGTATTTTCATGTGGCATTATCCCCCCTCTCAAGAGGCATCACCCCGATGCTTTCGATGATAATGTATGCAGCATTTCCGTCTCGGAAGGTTTGTAAGAGTGAAATTGTTGTACAGCAAGCAAGTGGGGTGGCTAGTCTTCGTATCGGTCGTAGTACGGTTTCATGCGCACAATGTGTACACGCTCGGTGGGGTTGCGTTGTTCGGAATGTCCATGTCCAGTAGGCTTGACTTCATAAACAAGGTCGCTGAGTTGCCTTACTACCTCGTAAGGACTGAAACATCGACAAATGAGTTTTTCAGACAGGCCTCGTCACCGTCATCATCATCATCAGCCTGACTACGTCCACTGCAGGACAAAGGCCTCTCCCATGTTCCGCCAGTTAACCCGGTCCTGTGCTTGCTGCTTCCAATTTATACCCGCAAACTTCTTAATCTCATCTGCCCACCTAACCTTCTGTCTCCCCCTAACCCGCTTCCCTTCTCTGGCAATCCAGTCAGTTACACTCGTTGTCGTACTAGGGTCCATATCCACACTTTTTCACCAACTTGATACCGTGTTTCACGTCTTTCTCGGTTGTAGTGGGTGGCATCACTTCGTTGTTGGTGAAATATTTGGTAGCTTGCTAATTGGCGGGCCTCTTCCGCTCTCTCTATATAGTCATCGACATCAGAAAGGTAGTCATCTTGATTTATAGGTAACATAGCGTCCAGTGTTGTGGTAACTACACGACCGTAAACTAGTTGAAA